ATATATACATCAGTACCAAACAGGTGAACTACCTGATCATAATCTTAATGGCACTAAGTAGGTGCTCCTAATCCTGTTTGGTATTTAGTATTATAAAAACTAAAAAGATCAAATACAGTAAAATCTTGTTAACTCGCACCTCAGGGGGTGGACAGAAACTCTTGAGTTATATGAATTTTGAGCTAACGAAAGTGCCCAAGTTCAATTTACACTTCAGTATTTGTTATCTAAACAATGAAATGGAATACTTTCCCCCATGATTTCCAATTTATATAATCATCTAATTTGGGGGCCATTTATTTTGTTTCAGGTTTAATGGTAACTGGACTGATTGTCCTCCAGATGGTGAAATCAAGGGGCCAAACACATGCTTCATATCGATATACTATAACACAGGAACAAAGCAAACAGTCCGTGTCACTTCCAGCAATGCTCTTGGAGAAGCTGAAGCAGAGAAAAGCTTCAATCCTTCTGCTGATGGTAAGAGTTGATTGTAATGAACTAGGATTTGTCTCTTGCTCTCAAAGTATCAGTGATGACAAAACTTGTCTTTTTCTGATAAAATTATAGGCATCTTAACCTTTTGATTAGGCAAATGTGCATTAAGTCAGTTTACAGTAAAGGAAAAACTGCACACAGTTAAATCTGATAGAAAGCCTTCTTTGGTTTGTGAACTATTTGCTGTTGTATTCTGTATGGTCATAAAAGGAAAACTCTAATATTATCAAAGAAAATTTCTCTGCCCTGAAGTACATGTAGGTGTGATGTTTAAAAAAACGTGTTCTGCTTTCAGTGTTTTTTACAGCCATTACAGTGGAGTACTTGTAATGGATATTGTAATTGATCCTGTAAGACATTGTGGTGCCTAATTTCTTTCTGTTTTCCGTTTCAACATTCGCAGTTGTTGTTAATCCACCGAGGAGAGTAATTCTGAGTCAGGGAGAGTTAGAAATATCCTTGTCTGTTACATGGAACATACCGAATGAATGGAACAGGATTAGTACACCATTAGATTACAAGCTTAGGTTCAAGAGAAATGATTGCTCGATGATGAACGACACCTGCTGCTGTTGGACTGAGGTAAGGAGGAACACTGATGCAGGCTTAAGTTTCATAAATCGTCACAAGCACGCATGGCATGCATCTCAGTACAACTTTATACATCAATTTAAGAGAAGCACATCTTTGCTATGGAGATACATTCCAGTACCATTTTAGATCATGCATACCCTAGCATGAGTATAATACAAAGTTTTACAGAAAGTTTTTTTAATTTTACCTTGAATACAGTATTATGGTACATTTGCTAAAATTCATTTCACAAAAATTCTTCTTTTTTCTTCCAGATAACAATGTTAAACAGGAATTTGCAAGATCTTAGTTACACCTTGAGGGATCTTGCCCCATACACGATTTACGTTGTCCAGATGGCAGCAAGGTACGGTTTGGATGAGAAAAATTGGAGTGAATGGACAGAAGAAGAATCTTCACTCTCTGCTGACACATGTGAGTTATTAAAAATCATTTTATCACTGTCAAAATGAAAGTCTATCAAATGAAAATCAAAAATAGTGCCCCTAAAATGTTTATAAATTCTTAATTCACAAAATTCAGCAACTTTGGATTTGAATTAGAAAGAAATTTGATGAATTATTCACACCTTAAACAACTTTTCAGTGCCTTCAGCAGGAGTGCAAAATCTTGAGATCATTGATGAAGAAAACACAGCAAGCACATACCTGAGAAATGTTCGCATCCATTGGCAGGTAAGCTAACAATGACGGACTCTTGTAATTTACAGTGTGTTACAATTAAATCAAACTTTCTTCATAATTCTGCAACTAAAAAAACACTTTTGAGGCATTCAGGGTGACGTAAAAGCCTGAATGACTGAAAAGATTTGTTTAGTTGACCTGAAAACAGAATAAAATATTGACACTGGCTTTCAACAGTTTCGGGCTTTCTCTGGGAATGCTTGTTTGTGTACAGGCTGACATACATGTTGATTTATAAGCAGTGTGACAGTCAACATGGAGTAAAAATCTGAAGCATGTGGGGGAAGTTTTGTTGACAAGTGATGTGAGTAAATTGCTGTGCTATCCTCGTATTCACATTTGTGGTCACTACTGATGAACCAGCCTTGAAGATTAGACATTTTTGAGTGTAATATACATACCTCAATTATTGGCCCGTTTTATGTAGACTGTGCCTCAGGAACACATCAATGGTGAACTGATTGGATATGATATTCATATCAAGGCTGATGATGGCCAAAGTGATAGCATGCAGGAGATGATCACTATTGGACCCAACTCAAACTGGTACAAAGTTGAAGGTGAGAATTTCAGGTAGCTCTATAAAGCCCATGGTTTCATATTCTTTCCCACAAACTTGCAGTGTCTTGGTAAATACAAATGACAACGTTTGACCAATAGAGTTGAGTATTTAATCCTAGGTCAAAAATAATTCATTCACCTATAGGCTTGGAATCCTCTGCCATACGTCAGTTAAGAATTACAACCACTATACTACTATGCATCCTCACCTGGACATCATCTGCCTCATTATTTCTAAAGTTTTTATAAAAGTGTCTCAAACTGTATTTTTTTCCTTGCAGGTCTTCAGAAGTTCCAGGGCTACACCATCAAAGTTGCTGCCAGGAATGGAGCTGGTTTAGGGCCTTGGGCTCAGGAGCATGTCCGTGACTTGACAACCAGTAATTAATAATAATAATAATTAATAATAGTAAGAGTTTGTCTTTGAAGATACTTTTCAAACTGAATAATAATTTACGTATTCTTGTACTCTTTCAGCTCCAAATGCTCCTGATGATGTTACAGCTGTTGCCTTGACGACAACTTCCATCTTGGTGTCTTGGGACACACCAAGTCAACCCAATGGTTACATTGAAGACTACACTGTCGAATGGAGGAAGGCCAACGGAGCCAAGTAAGTTGGCTTGCAGGCTCTAGCATAGTTGAGATGTTTGTGCGCTACTATAACAATGACCCATTATTATTTACATTCACTTGTTCAAATGTCTTTCAGCTTGAAGGATCTTTATATTGGTACCAGACACATGATAGAAGTTGCATTCTAGTTTTTACATCTAGACAGAATAAAGCACTTTAAATAGCAGTGCTACCATGTCGTATACAGTATGCTTTCACTTTGCCAAAAACTGTCAGAATATTCAGCCGTATTGTCACATGGTGGAAAAGAAACTGTCCGATGTGTCCTGAGGTTTCGTTTATGCCTTTTTCTTTTTATTTAGACATCCTTACACCACTCCTGATGCAAGGCTAAATCATACCATTGATGATTTGGAGACCTTTGTCTTGTATGAAGTCAGTGTGAAAGCAAGGAACTCACGTGGAGAGAGTGGGTATAGATCTGTTAGGGGAGGCATACGCACCTTAGAGGGAGGTAAGTCTGATGAGGATTGAGTCAGAATGGGCTGGGCAGATAGATGGGGGGGTCACAGCTATTATTTAAGGCCTAAGAATTGTGTTAAACTGATTTGGTTCCACATTTGAAGACTAGACAAAGAGGAAGTAATTGGGGGGTGATTGTTTATTTATCGTTATTCACGGCATTAGATGTGTTTCAGATCATGTTTTACCCATCAGTTCTTCATTTTAATTCAAAATCTTGAAGAGTTTTAATCGCAATGTTTTTCCTTCAGATTAGATCAAGCCATCAGAATGTTAAAGAAATTTTTCTTTGAACAGAGTGTCTTCCGAGTGGCTTAGATACATAGAGTTTGTAATTGCTGAAGATTATCTGCTTAATTTGTTCCCTTTGAATAAACAGTTCCCGATGCCCCTCCTACTGATGTAGAGGTGGAACCTGTGCAAGATCAACCTAATAGATTGATGCTGATGTGGAAACGACCACCTGCTGAGCATATCAATGGCAACTTGACTGGTTATCGGATTTCATTATGTCAGAGCAGTCCATACTACCATGAGAACACTGGAAAGCTGTGCTCAGGTAAGGAGGCTTTTCAATTCTTAGTGCATATTGTGGGTTTTCATTTCAGTATTATGTTTTATGAATTTGCTGGATTTTAGCCTAGTTCAAACACCAAAAGTTAGAAATTTTGCGTGCTGTAGTCAACTTCATGTTGATGAGTTATAATTACAAACCTGGCATCCAAAGACCTTATCCTGCTTAGGCCTAACTGCGTTTTCTAGTACAGTTGTATTTAATTTTTTCTTTCGTTTTAATAATTTTGATCTCTTTTATGTTCAGGTGATCTACTTGTACAAAATGTCAGCCGCCCTGATGCAATAAGTGAAACATTGACCAATCTGGTGCCATCAACATCTTATTCAATCTGGTTAGCAGCTTACACAGCTATAGGCGTGGGACCAGACTCTGAGCTTGTCCATGGAAAGACAGCCCAAGAGAGTGAGTTATGATTTAATTGCTAGACTTTATTCTTTTTTGGGGGGGGGCATTATGAATGTATTTGCGAACTGTGTTTCTATTTATTGGAATAATTTTGCATTTTGTTTCAATGCTTAATAATTTAAATGAATTTTGAAGCTCTACCTAATTACGTTAAGTTTGAAACATTTGCCAAACAAGAGAAAATTACAGACTTTCACATGAAGTTGCAGTTCCTTTTGAAGGTACAGTTTTTGAGCAGAGTATTCATCGACAGGAAGTATATTCACCATTGTAATGTCAGTTCAGTCTATAATAAATATGGTTGGCACTGCTGCTCATAGGAAATTTAAGAATTGGAAATGTACCAGTATATTTCTTCTCCAACACGTCAAGAAGCTCTAACTCCAGTAATGTTTTATGTTATCAACATCTTGTTTATCTGTGTTTGTGTCTTACAGCTCAGGGAATCCTGTTGTTGGCCATTTTTGTTCCACTTGTCATTCTAATAATTATCCTGATTTTGGCAATTTACTTCTGGAAAAGCTGTCATCACATCTTCGAGCCTGCTCCTGAACCTAAGTTTACGAAAGAGGTAGACCTTTGGAAAAAAGAGGTAAGTCAGTGACCTCGCATTTTAGCAACTCTAAAGGCTTTGCTCTGAAACGTACATTTCCTCTCGCCACTCAAAAGCCTCCCGGACTATCGCAGAAGACTATCAAAGGGTTCATACTGCAGCTACTTGAGCTAGAAGAATTTTTAAAGTACCAAGCAGTTTATTGATTTTAAAACTTAAAATAGTTATCTCTTTATCTATATAATAATTAAAACATTACTAAATGGGAATCTTTTAACTTATAAAAAATTGTTTGTTTCATCAGCAGGAATTGAAGTGAATTCAATAAGAATGTTATTGACAAAAAACATTTTGTTAAACTGCAGTTATTTTTCTTTGCTTCTAAACAGTCACAAAGAATCTCCAGAAGCAGCAGCCGAGTGGAAGAAGAACACTTTGATAACATTCTGCCAGCTCAAACAGATGACATTATCATCAGTCTTCTAGATAACTCCATTGAGCTTGCCAAAGAGGCATCTCAGACATCTCCCAATCTGGACCTGAATTTGGAATCAGTCCATCTGTACCCCAAGACTCAGACAGCCAAGTTCATCCGCTCCGAGAGCAGGGATAGTGGAGTTCCACCATCTCCAGCAAGTGAGAGCCCTGACTTCAGCACCTTGCGAGACAGACAGAGCATCTCTGAAGAAGATGACAATGTCTTCTTGGAAGATGAAGATACAATCACTCCATCCTCTCAGTCATTCAGCCCATACACATTAGTAGGTCAGTTCACACCCTCTAATAAACATTCTCCTGAATCCTCTCAGTCAAGTCCTGTGAAATCCCCAAAGAAAGTCTCCTTTGAAATACCATCTGTAAATAAGTTCTCATCAACTTTACCAAATGACAAGCAGTCTAGTGTCGATCAAAATGCTTCTCATAGTAAGCAGACGTCATCTCGTAGTTCAAAGAGAAGTTCATCTGCTTCATCAGTGGATGTTTCACCATACATGCAGATGTCAGCTATGGAATCCCTTCAACTTCTACAACAGCAGACCCATCAATCGAATCCACAGCATCAGTCTCTCTGCCCAGCAAGCACACAGAACAAGGTTTCCCATAGCTTAGCATCAGTTGTCTCACCTTACACCCAAATGTCTGCAATGGCATCTCTCCCTCACAAGAAGCAGGAAAATCACCAAGAAGCCATGCAGTTGCCATCTCAAAGTCCAGCTGTTGAATCTTACACTCAGATGCCAGCCATGACACGTCTTCAGCTTCCACAGCAACAGAAACCAGAATCTGAGCATCAGCATCTCTCTGGAGGTCTTAACACAAATCTTCTGACACCCCCAATTTCCTCACCTTACACTCAGTTGTCCGCTTTAGCATCACTGCAGCCTAATCCTTGTCAACAGTTGAAGCAGCAGCCTAACTCTCCGGACTCACCTCCAGCAGTCTCACCATACATAAAAGCTTCCATATTAGAATCACCCAAACCAAACCAAGAGGAAGCCAATAAACCCAAACTGCAGTCAACTCAAAGACTGCAGTCAACTCAAAGACTGCAGTCAACTCAAAGACTGCAGTCAACTCAAAGACTGCAGTCAACTCAAAGAGATCCCTCTCCTCCTGGATCAACTACAGCTCAGCAGGCAAGCCAGCCTCCTCCTCCCAATTCTTCAAAAAGTCAGGATATCACTTCCAATTCTACCAAACACCAAGTTGTATCTCCCTATACTCGAATGTCAGAACTTGGAGCCAAGAAACCAAGGCAAAGTGATCGCATTCTAACTCAAGCCCGATCACCCTTTAAGATGTCAGATGTGGTAACCATGATACCAAGACACGACCAGACTGATTCATTAACTAAGAGTCTTACAAATAGTCTTTCTTCCCAACTTTTACCGCCAAAAGTTGTATCACCATACACCATGATGTCAGATGTACAAGCCACAAAACCAATACAGGACCAGACTTCCTTCACCAAGAGTTCGAGTCTTTCTCCCCATCCTATACCACTATCAGCTGTATCTCCAAACAGTCAGATATCAGTATCTGCTCAACCCAACATAAACACAACTGCAACTCAGCAACAAAATTATCTTCCTTCTGTCAAGAATTCACAGAGTGCTCCTGCAGGTACAGCTCTACCAACTCTGTCACTGCACACTCAGACATCAACCTTGATGTTTCCAAAACAGCCTGATCAGAGTGATCCCAATCATCAGCCTCCGCCTAGATCTCCTGCTCAGTATCCAAACCAAACCAATTCATGTTCTTTAAATATATCCCCATACGTTGGCATGTTAGATGTAGATGCCCTATTGAAAAGCCAGCAACATGCAAGTCAAACTAGACCATCTTCTACACCTGACGGCCAGCAATCATTGCAACCTTCCGCTTTGAATGCTGCCAACACAGAGGTTACAGGTTACTGGTCTGTAGGAGCTTCAGTTCCACAAAATGTTCTACCATCATCAGAACCAAATGCTTCCAAGCACAGTCAAGAGGGTCAGGTTAACCTCCAGAACATTGCCCCAAAAGTAGAAATAGCTCATGTTTCTACAAACCCAGACAGGCGAGATGAGGAAAACGAAAAATCCCCCAGATACGTTCTTGCTGCTTGCTCCCCTGTGGATCACTGCAGACCAAAACAGCCATTACCATCTCTAAGCCTTCCTATAGACTTTCAACCTAACCCATGCAATCATTCTGATTCCAAACTTGATGGATATTTACAAATGTCACCAATTTTTCCGAGGATACCACCTGGATCAGATCAGCCAGATGTTGCTAAAGATCCAGCATTGAATCCCAAGGTCACAGCATACACTCACATCCATCAAAATGAAGAGCTCCCTCTTCCCCCAGCACTAACCCATGAGCATGTGCCGTCATCCCCCATTGACGACAGTGCTGTTTCTGGGTCCTCTCAAATTGCTGATCCTCACAATGCTTCTCAAGAAGATCAGTCCACTCATGCCATGCCTAAATCTCAAGATGGTCCATCAGAGGGCAGTAGCAGTGATGCAGATACCCTAGTGCCAGGGGGAAGATCCTTAAAGAACCAGGTAGCTGTTGACACGGTGCTTTCCCTTGTGGATAATCAGTCTGAAATGAGTTCTGATCGTGATGGCTTTGACAATGAAACCGACAACCAAAGTGATAACACACCTTCACATTCCCATGTGTCTGATTATGTCCAAGCCGGTGCTGGTGCCCTTGGATCAGTTGGTAACACACCTCCACATTCCCATGTGTCTGACTATGTCCAAGCCGGTGCTGGTGCCCTTGGATCAGTTGGTAACACACCTCAACATTCCCTTGTGTCTGACTATGTCCAAGCCGGTGCTGGTGCCCTTGATTTAGTCGGTAACACACCTACTGTAACAGTCAATCCTGATGCTGGTAATCATGTGTCCCCCGTACAACCTTTGTCTGATTATATAGTGGCTGGACACAGTACTCATCCACGAACAGACGGTCAGAACTGAAATCTATCAGTGAATAGATGACTGAGAGAGAATCATGTTCATAGAACAACAAAGATTAAACTTGGTGATTGTAAGTAAGATTTGAAATGGATGATTTTAGTAATTAGTTTGCTTGGATTAAATCAGTCCAGGCAAATTCCTAAGATAATTTTTTCTAAAGTAAATCAGTCAAATTATATTTTTTTATAATCACTCTGAAATTTATCAAGATGGAATTGTGCATGAAGTGCACCAAAAGTATAAAGCTATATTGGGACATTTTACTCAGAAAACTGTTTGTAGACACAGCATAGTAGTATTTTATTGTAAGAACAAGATATACTTTGATGTTACATGTGGTATGTATATTGCGCATTGACTTAAGAAAGTTAGTTCTTGATTTATGTATATATATGTGGTATGTTGATGTAGATTTCATAGTTTTTATAATATATAATTCCAGATTGTTTCAGGGAAGATGAATGTTCAGAAGCAAAACCACAGAGAAATCATTCTAACAGAAATTTTGTTCCTCATAAGAATTTATGTGGTTAGTTTTATGTATCACCATTATTGCCTTATGTAAACTTACGTCAAAAAATGATGCAAGTATATGCATCATTAAATAAATAACTTAATACTCAGTGCCTATTGTATAGCAATAGCTTCTTATAGCAACAGTGTGATATGAGTTATTCCACATGGAATAGTTTTACACAGTAGGCCTGCATGTTCTCCAACTTACACCTGTTGGCTAACAATTGAACAATGTATCTCCAAGTCATATGTACAGCATTTTACTGGACTGTTAAAAATCCTGTGTTTTATTTGCCATTGCGCTGTGTTGCTCAGCCCTCTGTGGCTTATAATACTGTCAATCCCGACTCCATTACACATCCAGTGAACAGAAGGAAACATACAAAACGTTCAATAATATTTTGTTAGTACTATTGGAAGAAAACTGAATTGCATACATGTATCAGGAGTAAGAATTCTTCGGAGGTTTGTCTGTAACGATATTTTGTCCATGAAGTAGTTTATTAAACCTCCCTACGACCTGCTGTGTCAGCCAGGGATGGCCTCAGATAGCCTTGGCTTCATCTTTGAAAGTTGTCTCCAGCTCCTAATTCATTCTCGGATCCTTTTCTTGAACGATATGGAAGGACTTCAGATTTAGCCTTTTACCTCTAGAATTTGATATCGTGTAGCAAAGAATGCTCAGCCTAACTCTATCTGTGTAGGACCTACAATCACAAAGTCAAAATAGGAGATGAGACCGATGTTTGGCATATAGCCATCCTTGATAGTTTTGATGCAGTGACGTTTTAATATTCTTTTATGTGCAGTGCATCGGTTGCACTGAAGAGGATCATCATAAACTGATATCTCGGATTTTAGTACGAATATCTTTGTCATTGGTCATTTTATGCTAGATATTACATTTTATAAAATGTATGGGAATGTAGTACTATTTCTTCTGATTTCTTCTCACTTGAATTGTAAAAGAGAACTTGTACATAATCTTTCCTTGTACTTGTAATGCAGAGATTAATGTAAATGTTGGTTTTTAAAAACAAAGAGACTTGTGAATAATCATCGATCAAAATTTAATTATGTGACTATTTTTAGTTTTGTGAGGAACATAATATAAAGAGAATTTGAGTGTATTTAATTAGTGGTTAGGATATGACAATACTAGGTGGCAGACTTTATTAAGTCTTCCTGGTGTCATGGTCTTAGCTTCACACTGCCATGGAACCATCCTAGGATTGATCAGGTACCACATCAAAAAATGGTCAGTATTTATCTCCCATAAGTCACTTTTGCTTAACAAATTTGGTGTGGTACCATTTCAATCCAGAATGCTTTGTTCCACAGCAATATCCAGCTAAGATGGTGTCACTTCACATTGCCTTGCCAATTGCTAGAAGTATGTCTGTCATTTTCCATAAAAGGAATGGAATACTGTGCTATATATCAACTGGAAGGTCAAATTTACTAAAAGGATTAGTCTTGGTGTCCCAAGGATTAACGATGAAACAGTAGTAGCGTTTTAGTATACAATTATAAGTGCATGATAAAGGCAAAATGAAGATTTTTGAAATTTTCTTGAGAAAATTAAGTTCAAAATGGATCAGCCCTGCCATTTTAATTAAAATCAGCGAAAAATAAGTTTTTGTTAGACTTTCTACAAAACTATATTTGCAAAGGGTTGGCCCGGCCATTTTAATTAAAATGAACCCAGCTGAACAGGGAACGGGGCCATCTTTTCCTACCTCCATGGTTCATAGGAAACAGAACAACGGACTCACAAACCCCGCACATGCCAAAGTCACAGGAATTTCATCCAACGATGCTGGCATGGCGGGGCTGCAGACGTGAGTACCGTTGCCGGTGTCCAGTCTGCTCAACCCTGGGAAGAGGTTGAAGTGGTTGGAGCTAGAGGCGTCGGTGCACCATACCCAGCAAGAAATGAGACCGAGGGG